CCAAAGTGCTGGGATTATAGGTGTGAGACATCGAGCCCAGCTATTTTTTTTTTTAAGAGAGGAAGTCACCCTATGTTGCCACCCTATGAACTCCTGGACTCAAGACAATCCTCCTTCCCTGGCCTCCCAAATTACTGGGATTACAGGGATGAACCACCGTGCCAAGCTGTCATTACCATTTTACAGATGAGGAAACTGAGGCGTAGGGTGCTAGTCGGCAGCAAAATTGAGATTCAGCAAAGCTACTTGGATCAGAGTCTATGCTCTAAGTTGTCATGCAAGCCTACTGCTAGAATGGGTTACTCATGGAGCTGGTGAGCTTTCTGTCTCTGGAGGCATGTAAGTAGACCATCAGGCATGTGAGGAAATGCTCAAAAACATCATTTCTGGGTAGGACAGAAGCCTGGAGGACCGATATTAAGTTTGTCTCGAAAGTACTAGAGGTAGGAATTGTTCATGTGAAACTGACCGGGATGGAATCCCATCTGCCTGCCTAATCCATACCCTTGGGAACAGGGGTTGCAGGTGACCTGACCCTCACTAAGACTGCTCAAAGTGAGTAAGAGGCCTGCAGGAAGCAGCGTGACATGGGGACTGAGAAGACGTGATCTGGAGACAGTTCAGACATGGCTTCCAATCCTGGCTTCGCCACTTACTAGCACTCAGCTGGTGCTTATGCAGCTCATTTAATCCCCTGAAACTCACAGGGCTTGTTGTGACAATAAAATGAGAAGCCACATGGAAATAATTTACACTCAATCAAAGAGGTGAGGCTCAGGAGCCAGGGCCTTTGTGGGATTTGGAACTTTCTCTTTCCCCTCAAACCCAGCAGATGGGGACTGTGGTGGTAGCACTGGTCACTGATCCTGAGCTGTGCAAGACCACTTATTGACCTGACAGGGGTTCCCTATGTTGCCCAGGCTGGTCTTGAACGCCTGGGCTCCAGTGATTCTCTAGCCTCAACCTCCCAAAGTGCTGGGATTACAGGCGTGATTCCCCGAACCTGGCCTGGACCCCTCCTTTGTTGCCATTCCTCGCCAGGCCAGCATCATTGGCTCTCCCTCCCCACCAAGTTACTCCGTCTGCAGAGAAAGATGCTCACACCCGGGGTGCTTCCTGCCCAGCCACTGCCTCACCTCCTGTCCTTGCCCCCAGTGCTGCTCCAGCCACCCCTCAACCAGCTCACCAGCCTGCTCTGGTCAGCGTCTCCGGGACCTCCCACGCCCAAGTCCACCAGACTTTCCTCTGTGCTTGTCTCAGTCATCCTCGCAGCAGTATTCAACACAGCTGACCACAACTTCCTTCCAGTCTTTCCTGGGACTATGGTGGCCCCTCTCCCAGGTTTCCTTCCATCTCCCTGCCCTTCCTCCTCACTGATCAGGGCTGCCCCTCCATCCACACTCTTAAGTATCAGGGTTCCTCCAAGCTCCGCCCCAGTCCTGTGGTTTTCAATAGTGTCTGCACGTGGATAAGCCACACATGTACATGTTCATTTCTCTCTTTAGGAATTATCAGCCATGGCCGGGCGCGGAGGCTGACACCTATAATTCCAGCACTTTGGGAGGCCGAGGCAGGTAGATTGCTTGAGGTCAGGAGCCTGGCCAATATGGTGAAACCCCGTCTCTATTAAAAAAAAAGGAAGTATCAGCCACCTACGTGGTGTCTACAGATGAGTGCCATCACTGAATACGGCCAGAACAAATCTGCTTTCTGCCTGCTCCAGAAGGTGTTCTGCCATCTCCCCATCTCAGTGGAGGTCAGCACCACGCCTTGGGCAGCCCCAAGCCAGGCTGCCACCTTCACCTCCTTCTCCCTTCCTCCCACAGCAAATCCTGACACTTCTACCCTCAAGACAGCTGTGGAATCTGCCCCCTTCTTCTTCTCCACCACCACTTAAAGTCACCACCATCTCTAAACCATAACCTCACTAGTCTCCCGGTCCTACTCCTACCCCCTTCAATCTGTGTGCCATGAATCAGTTTCAAATGTAAACCAGAACCAGCACCTCCCTGCCTGGCCCTCTGAGGGCTTCCCATTGTTCTTGGAATAATCCTCAAGAGGCTGCCAGGCTACAGGATCTGGTCCCAGCCTGTCTCTTCACCTGAAGCGCCTCTCCCTACCCCTCACCAGACGCATGACACTCTTTCTGTTCCTCAAATGAGCGATTGCCTTCCTGCGTTTATAATGACATTGTCATCTTCTTCTTCTTTTCTTTTTGAGACAGAGTCTCGCCCTGTAGCCCAGGCTGGAGTACAATGGCGAGATCTCAGCTCACTGTAACCTCTGCCTCCCGGGTTCAAGTGATTCTCCTGCCACAGCCCCCAAATAGCTGGGACTCCATGACATCATGCCAGGCTGAATTGTATATTTTTAGTAGAGATGGGGTTTCACTATGTTGTCCAGGTTGGTCTTAAACTCCTGACCTCGTGACTTGCCCACCCAGCCTCCCAGAGTGCTGAAATTAAAGGTGTGAGCCCCTGGCGGACATAATCTTCTTTGCCACCTAAAGGTAAAAGCTCAGTGGCACCTTGGCCCCAACCCTCCCATATGCAGTCTGGACTGGGGTGTGTGGCCTTCTCCTGACCACAGCCCCCACCAGGGCTTGCCTCTCTAGCTTGTCTTTCCACAGCCTCTTGACTGGGCTGCCTGACTCCAGCTGTGACCTTATCCCAGCCCCAGATGGATTCCTGACCCTAAGTCCCACACTAGCCCTTGGGAGCCTAGCCATCTAACACTGACTCCTGCACAGACTGACGGAGCCCCAACGCCACCGGAGACCAGGACTCCGCCCTTGCCCGGTGTCTCCCAATGCCTCTAGGTCCCAGCTCCTAGTCCAGATCAGTGCCTGGCCCATAACAGACACTTAACAAATATTTGTGGAGTGAAGGGATCTTCTGGGGCGGACTCAGTTCTGCTCAGCCTCACTACAGCCATCACAGGTCCAAAGGCTGAGCTACTTAGCCACCTGCCAGATGGCATCTGCCCTGGGAGAAGAGTAGGAAGTCCCAGATCTTGAATTGGTTGCACAACATATGACCCTGGGCAAATCATAACCCCCTCCTGAGCTCCACTGACCCTTCAATAATGCGGGAGTGAGCAGAGCCACTCAGCTGTCTCTCCTGGAAGCCCTGTAACCACACGCAGGACCTTTTGTTTCCATGCATTTCCTCGTCCAGCGTCCCCGCTGACCTTCACAGCCGCCCACGAGGCACGAGGATGATCTGCTGGTCTTGTACAGATCCCCCACGCAGCAGCCCCAGCGAGCCACCCTTTCAAAGCACTAGTCAGGAGGCAACACTCCTCTGCTTGAGCCTTCCCATGGCTCTTGATTTCACTCAGCGTGAAGTGAAAGTCCAGTGGATGGCTGCAGGATCTGGCTGCATGTGACTCTCCCCTCCCTCTCTCTCCTCCCCTCGCTCCTCTCCCTCTCCTCCCTCCTCTCCCCCCCTCCCCCCTCCCCTCCTCCTCCCCTCCCACTCCCCTCCACTTCCCTCCCTTTCCCTCTCTTTCTCCCTCTCCCCTTCAGTCACTCCACCCCAGCAATGCTGACCTCCTTGCGGGTTAGTCACCCAGGCCGTGCACATTCCCACCCAGGCACCTCTGCTCTGGCTGTGATTTCTGCCTGGTTGTGGGCTTGGTGAATTTCTCCCCTCCTTTAGGCCTATGCTCAAACCTCTCCTTGTCAGTGAGGCCCATCCCAACATCCTATTGAAGACTACAGCCTGCCCCCAGCCCTGCGTCTCCAGAAACAACTTTCTTCCATAGCACTGACCACTCTCTAACAACAATGTAATTTACTGACCTGTCTTCTGCCCCTAGAATGTGAACTCCATGTGGATGAGGTTACTCGTCTGCCTTGTTCATCCATGTATCCCAAGCTCCTAGAACAGTGCCTGGCATCAAGTATTCAACAAATGACTGCTGAACAAATGAGAGAAGGGATGATGTATACTTGCCTGGGGTGCATATTGCAGATACAGGACTGGAGACCACGCCTGCTCCCTCCCCAGAAAGAGCCCCCTTTCCAGCCCCTTATTCATGACCAAGGTGTACTGGGGTCCAAAAGGCCCCACATAAGAAGGATGGGCTGGGCCATATGGGCTGGTGGGCAGGGCTGGGGGCACACTGCCTGCCTGCTTCTTGAACCAGTTCATCAGGGAGTCAGGGACCAAGAAGGAGAATGGGGAAGAGGAGGTCTCAGGAGACTCCACCTGCCCAGCTCACTCAGGGTGGGAACTCACAACTCTGGGATTTGAAGTGTCCAGACCAAGAGAGGGCAGGCGTCTTAGGCAGTCACTCAGACTATTTTGGGGGTGACACCAGGGATGAGACCCCTGAGATGAGCCCTCCAGGAAAGTCCAGAGAGGGAGGATGAAGCTCCCTCTGGCTATGTTGAGCAGCTCCAAATCTCTGCACATGCACAGGGTCCCAGATTCAGAATGAACAAGTGTACAGAAAAGAACACATCGCCGAGCTCTCTAACATTTATTGCATGCTCTCTCTATGTCAGCCACGTGTATATTACTTACTCAATCCTTTTACAGCCCAACGAGATGGGTTCTATTAGCATGCTCATCTCACAGGTGAGGAAACCGAGGCACAAAAAAATTCAAGTAACTTGCTCAAAATCATACATCTAGTAAGTGGTGGACTTGGATTTTTTTTCTTATCAAAAGAAAATTCTCAGCACTTTGGGAGCTGAGGTTTGTAGACTACTTGAGGCCAGGAATTCAAGACCAGCCTGGCCAATATGGTGCAATCACATCTCTATGAAACACACACAAGTTAGCCAGGCGTGGTGGTTTGTGCCTGTAATCCAAGCTGCTCTGAAGGATGAGGCAAGAGAATCACTTGAGCCCGGCAGAGGTTGCAGTGAGCTGAGATTGCACCACTGCACTCCAGCCTAGGTGAAAGAGCAAGACTCTGTCTCAAATAAAAAACCCAAAACGGAAAACAAAATAGAAAACTTTTGATAAAGTACTGAGACATTTTGTCCAGTGTGTTTTGAGGAGTAAAACACAGCAGTTTACTCCTGCTGGGGTGTTCAAAGGTCAGTGCCATAGAAATTCAGTATGCGGCATCGTCGGTTTTCTTGGCTTTGTGCTTGTTAAACCTGGTATTGCTATTGATACAGCATTTGTACAGGTTTCTCAGAGTGTTCTGTTGGATACACTCTCAAACAGTAAGCAATGCTTTTCTTTTTTCCAGGGTGTCAAATTGAGAACCAGGCAGAGCTGCCACCCACAATAAAAAGGTGAACTTTGACATCTTCAGTTTAGCCATATTAAAAGGAGATGACAGAAGCCAAAATAAAAGAATTATGGGCTGACAGGACAACTGGATTAAAATAAGCATCGGTTTCATTAAAAAGGGCTAACTGGAAGATAAATCTTTTCACTCCAGCTCTTTAGAGGCTCTAACGTGACCTTGATGGGAAGTGGAAGAAATCACAACATGGAATTCCTTGAATAAAAATTTATTGACTTTAAAACACACACACACCTGGGCTCACACCTGCAATCCCAGCACTTTGGGAGGCGGGCGGAGTTCAAGACCAGCCTGACCAACATGGAGAAACCCCCATCTCTACTAAAAATACAAAAAAATTAGCCGGGCATGGTGGCGCATGCCTGTAATCCCAGCTTCTTGGGAGGCTGAGGTAAGAGAATTGCTTGAACCTGGGAGGCGGAGGTTGTGGTGAGCCGAGATTGTGCCACTGCACTCCAGCCTGGGCAACAAGAGCGAAACTCCGTCTTAAAACACACACACACACATTATGTTCCTATGCTGTGAAGAGCCCATTATCCCCCAATTGTCAATATAACCACGATGGGAAGCAGTGAGGATAATTCCTGTACAAAGGAAAGTGAGTTTGTACATACTTGACTTTAAATTTTTTTCAACCTTTTTTTTTTTTTTTTTTTAAGACAGAGTTTCGCTCTTGTTACCCAGGCTGGCATGCAATGGCGCGATCTTGGCTCACCACAACCTCCGCCTCCTGGGTTCAAGCAATTCTTCTGCCTCAGCCTCCCGAGTAGCTGGGACTACAGGTGCGCGCCACCATGCCCAGCTAATTTTTGTATTTTTAGTAGAGACGGGGTTTCACCATGTTGACCAGGATGGTCTCGATCTCTTGACCTTGTGATCCACCCTCTTCAGCCTCCCAAAGTGCTGGGATTATAGGCGTGAGCCACTGTGCCCGGGCTTTTTCAACCATTTTTTATGAAAAAATTTAAGCATACAGAAAAGTTGATCATACACCCACCACTTAGCTTTAACTACTATTAATTTCACTTCTCTTGCTCTGTTGTATTATTATTACTATTATTATTATTATTATTATTTTTTGAGACAGGGTCTTCCCCTGTCACCAAGTTTGAATGAAATGCAGTGGCACAAAAATGGCTCACTGCAGCCTCAATCTCCTAGGCTAAGTGATTCTCCCACCTCAGCCTCCCAAGTAGCTGGGACCACAGGCACATGCCACAGTGACAGGTTAATTTTTTCTTTTTTCTCTTTTTTTACAATTTTTGTAGAGATGGGTTCTTGCCATGTTGCCCAGGCTGGTCTTGACCTCCTAGGCTCAAGGAATCCTCCCATCTCAGCCTTCCAAATTGTTGGAACTACAGGTGTGAGCCACCATGCCTGGCCTTTCGCTTTTACTTTTATTACTATTTTTTGAGACACAGTCTCACTTTGTCACCGGACTGGAGTGCAGTGGCATGATCTTGGCTCGCTGCAGCCTCGACCTCGTGGGATCAAGCAATCCTCCAGCCTCAGACTCCCAAGTAGCTGGGACTACAGGCACGCTCTACAAGGTCTGGCTTATTTTTTGGAGAGACAAGTTTTAGCCACGTGGCACAGGCTAGTCTTGAACTCCTGAGCTCAAGCAATCTGTCTGCCTTGACCTTCCAAAGTGCTAGAATTACAGGCATGAGCCATCATGCCTGGACTTTTATTTTTAGATTTTGAGACAGAGTCTCTGTCACCGAGGCTGGAGTGCAGTGGTACAATCACAGCTCATTGCAGCCTCGACTTCCTGGGCTCAAGCCATCCTTCCATCTCGGCCTCTCGAGAAGCTGGGACTACAGTTGTGTGCCACCAGGCCCAGATAATTAAAAAAAAAAACTGTAGAGATGGGGTCTCACTATGTTGCCCAGGCAGGTCTTAAACGCCTAGGCTCAAGTGATCCTCCTGCCTTGGGCTCCCAATGTGCTGGGATTACAAATGTGAGCCACTGTATCTGGCCTTTATTTTTATTTTTGAGAGAGAGTTTTGCTCTGTCACCCAGGCTGGAATGCAGTGGCATGAACACAGCTCACTGCAACATCGAATTCCTGGGCTCCAGCAATCCTCCTGCCTCAGCCTCCTGAGCTAGCTAGGACTACAGACATGCACTACTACACCTGGCTAATTAAAAAGTTTTCAGAAGCAGGATCTCTCTATAATGCCCAGACTAGTCTCAAACTCCTGGCCTCAAGCAATCTTCCCACCTCAACTTCCCAAAGTGTTGAAATTACAAGAGTGAACCACCACACCCGGCCTCTCTCTCTCTCTTTTCTAAACAATGTGAAAGTAAGTTTAGACATCATGTCATGTTACTTCCAAGTACTTCAGCCTTCATCTCCTAAACAAATTCTCCCACCAGACTAAAATTCCATTATCATACCTAAGAAGAGCAATTACCATTTCCAAATGTCATTTGACATTCAAATTTCCCCAGCTTCTCAAAATTCTTTTATATCTTTTTTTTCCAAATCGCACATCTTGCAAAGATTTACAAATTGCATTTGGTTTATTGTTTTTTAAATCTTTTAAAATATAGACCCCCATGTATCTACACACATACACCTTTCTTTGTGACACTGACTCTTTGGAGAGCAGAGATGTTGTCTCATAGGCTGTCCCTGGATTTGCCTCATTGTTTCTTCATGGTATTATTTAACTTGTTCTTCTACCCCCTGTATGACTCTAAACTGGAATTTAGGTCTAAAGCCAGATTCAGGCTAAGCATTGTGGCTCAGGTCTGTAATTCCAGCACTTCAGGAGGCCAAGGCAGGAGGATCACTGAGGTCAAGAGTTTGAGACCAGCCCGGTCAACGTGGTGAAACCCCATCTCTACTAAAAATACAAAAAATTAGTTGGGCATGGTGGCACGTGCCTGTAACCCCAGCTACTTAGGAGACTGAGGCAGGAGAATTGCCTGAACCCAGGAGGCGGAGGTTTCGGTGAGCCGAGATTGTGCCATTGCACTCCAGCCTGGGCAACAAGAGCGAAACTCCGTCTCCAAAAAAAAAAAAAAAGAAGGGTTTTTCCTCATCAACTGGGATTGAACTACAGCTCCTTTGAAAGAGGCAGGACAAATTATTATTACTGTTGTTATTATTATTATTTTGAGATAGGGTCTCTTGCTGTGTTGCACAGGCTGGAGTGCAGTGGCACAATCACAGCTCACTGCAGCCTCAACCTCCTGGGCTCAAGCTACCCTTACACCTCAGCCTCCCAAGTAGCTGGGACTACATATGCACACCACCACACTTGGCTAATTTTTTTTTTTTTTTTTTTTTGAGATGTAGTTTCACTCTTGTTGCCCAGGCTGGAGTGCAATGGTGTGATCTCAGCTCACCGCAACCTCTGCCTCCCAGGTTCAGGCATTTCTCCTGCCTCAGTCTCCTGAGTAGCTGGGATTGTAGGCATGTGCCACCATGCCTGGTTACTTTTGTATTTTTAGTAGACCTGGGGTTTCTCCATGTAGGTCAGGCTGATCTTGAACTCCCAACCTCAGGTGATCCATCCACCTCGGCATCCCAAAGTGCTGGGATTACAGGCATGAGCCACCGCGCCTGGCCGAGACAGAGTTCTTATTATGTTTCCCAGGCTGGTCTCAAACTCCTGGGCTCAAGCAATCTTCCCACCTCAGCCTCCTGAAGTACTGGGATTACAGGTATGAACCACCAGGCCTGGCCAAATTATTCTTATTGAGGCTGGGAGTGTTCCATATTTGGCTGGCGGTGACCCTTTAAGTTGGCTCCTGGTTCCTTCTTTCAAGCCCCAGGAGTCTTTGAGAACTTCCTGGCTTTCTGGAAAGTAAAAAACTAAGATGTTTCGGCACCACCTGCGTTCCTCCACTCCAGTCCTGAAACTAGGCATTTGGAAGCTGGGATGTGACCCCAGGCAGTCTGTCTCAAGTTCTTTTGTTTTTTCACACTCATGGCAAACTGCAGGGGCCAGTTCCAGTGCTGGGCACCTTGCTATGTGACCCTACGCTGGTTCCTTTCCCCTCTCTGAGTCATACTTTCTCTGTAGGAAGCTGTAGGAGCTGGATTCCATCTTACTGCATCTCCCCATCAGGGTGTGGCATCCAAGCCCCAGTGCTCCCTGTTACTCTGTCTCCCTCCTCCTGTGGTGACCAGGGTTAGGTGGGACAGGGTTCCTTCCCTGGGTGGTGGAGCCTGTGTGACAAGTGGGAAACTGGGCCTTTTTTTTTTTTTGAGATGGAGTCTCACTCTGTCACCCAGGCTGGAGTGCAGTGATGCGATCTCATTTCACTGCAACCTCTGCCTCCTGGGCTCAAGCAATTCTTTGCCTCAGCCTCCCGAGTAGCTGGGATTACAGGTGCCCATCACCATGCCCAGCTAATTTTTGTATTTTTAGTAGAGACAGCATTTCACCATCTTGGCCAGGCTGGTCTTGAACTTCTGACCTCGTGATCCACCTGCCTCGGCCTTCCAAAGTGCTGGGATTACAGGCCTGGCCGAAAACTGGGACTTCTTATCCTTTAAGGAAAGATGCAGGAAGCCATTGTCCAGCCGCCACCTGGGAAACTCAGTCTTGGGACTCTCCCTCCTTGCTGCAATCAGTCTCTAACTTCCAAGGGCACAGGCAGGATGACCTTGGGATTTCCCTCAGCTGTATCCTGAAACTGCTTCACAGAGAGAAGATTTGGAATGCCATTCGATCACCATTGGTTGACAATCTAGTGACTCCGATGCATTTTTCCCTTTATTTTAAATATAAGCCAGGCGCGGTGGCTCATGCCTGTAATCCCAGGACTTTGGGAGGCCGAGGTGGGCGGATCATTTGAGGCCAGGAGTTGGAGACCAGCCCGGCCAACATCTTGAAATCCCATCTCTATG